TGAAAGACCCAGACGAAAAATGCCATGCTTTTTGTTAAAAAAGAAATCAAACTTTAGGAAAAATTCATGAGGACGATAGTAAAATCGTGTATGTACTTGCTGTTTTGAACATCTCCTGTTTACTCCTACCCCATACCTGCAAACGTATTTTATGAACTCCACCTAATGTTGCACGAATACTATATAATGCATAACTTTAGAGACCTATCAACTTAAACTAAGAATAGCTCACCTAATTTAATGTAAAAATTTCAGGTACTTGATACAAGGATAGGGATCAATATAAAGTTTATAGCTGGGGTAAGCCCCCAAGAGTATCATAGTAATTTTTAAAAAAATGCTTCTTTATATTAAAGAGGAATGCCTGCTTTGACAAAATAAATAAATATAGAAAAAAATTGACACAAGCACAAAAAGTAAATTCTTAGCCAATAATGTAATTATTTTTATATGTAGCTATGAAAATAGCTGTTTTGACAGGATCAAAAGTCACAGTCACAGTCTGGGACTTTGGAAAAGTTAATTAACTATTTAGTCAGACTTTTTTTTCTTTTGGCAATGGTGAATCATTTATCTCATTAAAATTATGTCTTTGACATTGGACATTACCAATAATAGATCGTACAGAATATTATGACTTGATAGTGTTGTCATTATACCCAGCATCTCTGACAGAAGGATTATCACATCTGCTGCCAATAGCACGCTGTCTTCCGAAGTAGTTTTCTAAATCGTCTTGACAAAATCTTTCTGAAAGAATATAAGGAACACCATGTTCTAAGAGAAACTTACAAACTTCTTTGAATGAATGTACAGTTATCTGAATACCTTCATAAGTTTGCATAGAAATAAACATATTATTCTTAGCATTAGCAGTATAATTCCTGTCATTTCGATTGTCAATAGACTCTTTCCAGTTTTTAAAATATAAAAGAAAACTGTCAAGCCATTCAAAACGTACATTATTAACAGATTCATACGGTTTTAGATTTTCTTTTAAATTTTTGATAGCTTTATTTTTACTTGAAATATTTAAACAGTCAAAAAATTTATCCATCATTAAACAAAACTGAGCAGTTCCAGCACATTCTGGGGGAACAAATTCTTTTAAAACTTTACCAACTGTTTCACTTAACACTTGAGCAGCCAAATGAACACGCATTACTGAATATGGTGCTAAATTAATGTGATCACTTGTGAGTTTATTACCTAATCTTATAGTTGTGAAATATGACTCCAAAGTAGGTGCAGACCATTGTTCCACATATGACGAGTTCCTTGTCCAGAACCAGAATTTGCAAGGCAGTTACGAGCTGTTTTAATCAAGTGTGGAGCATCTGAAAAAAAATATATGTAACGCTTTTCATTGGAATAAATATTCTGTGCTCTGTAAACTAAATCATTACATAAGTTCATATTTAAGTTCTTATGCATTCTAAAAAATTTGGTGAGGCGCCATCAGCTGTTGCAGAAATAACCTTTAAATTCATACTTTCAAGGTAACACACAGCTTTCCAAAATATAGGCATTAGCTGAAATGATGTAATTCCAGTAGTTGCAAAAGTAGCTAAACTAAATGATAAAGGATTTACAATGCTCTTTACAAGAAATACAAGAATATGAGTAGCTAATTCTTTAATATTTTTTAAAGTAGAAATGTTAATTTCTTTATCGCCTAAATCAACAAAACCAATAAGCTCTCCAGTATATTTGTCCCAAACTAAATATTCTTGGATCTTCATTTCATCAAAAATAATTGAAACAAACTTTTCATGAGGAAGGAAATTTTGTGTTTTTTTGGCAAGCTCATTTAAAACAGCTGGATTAAATCCCCTAGTAGGTCGGATGTAATTTTTGTAATCTCTTAAAGTTCTTAAGCTTGGAAGAGTTAAAATACCTTCACCTATCTGCGAATCATATCACAAATCAGTATAAGCAGATGACGATTTAGAAGCAAGGTTTAGACGATACTTTATTATTGTGGAGTGATATCTGATAGATGAAAGATTAGAACAGCTCAAATACTTTTGCTGATCTTCCCAAAACAACTTCATAAAAGGTGATATATTTTTTTGATCACAAGCTGAATATATTGAGATCTTTACTGAGTTCTGAGCAAATTTTTTTACTAGATTTGTCAAAAGCAGATTTCACTAGTTCAATTTCCTCTTTGAATTGTTTGCATTGAAGTCTGCATTGCTGCAAAGCCAGTTTAACTCTACTAGGGGAAGTTACAGAGATGGGTGCATTTAATTTAGCAGGAGTTTTAAGAGTAGATTTTTTAGAGAGCATATTAGAATAAGCTTTAATATTGAGTTCATGACAAAATCTGCATCTGCATGGTTGATTTTTTCCAAAGACTAATAATTGACAAGAATTGCTGCAATAAAATTCAATTTGATGCAGTTTAGACTTTATTAAAGAGTTTTTATAAACAAAATAATCAAAAGTTTTAGGAGCAACATGCTTCTGAAAATTTAACACTTCAATAGGATCAGGAAATTTTATTCCATTGCAAATTTCTAAAGGTTCTATTTCAAAAATAAGTTGTGAAAAAACAACATTAAGAAATGATCTGTTATATTTCAAATACAAATCATTAGTTTCAGGTAACATCCATCCATACACACGAATAGTAAAATATAAGGAATCTTCTACAAAATTTCAAATTTTGGAATGACTTCTTCTAATAACTTAAACGAAACATAACATAAATTATCAAAAAATTCAATCTTCCATAACTTATTTAATGAAGACAAAGTAAAAAGACGTTTTTTGAAGTCCACAAAGTTTCTATAACAATAAGACTTTTCGATTAAAAAACTTTCAAAAAGTAACTGATAATCATCTCGCTTAGATATGGACGACGAGGATGAGAAACAGCAATTTAAACTGGCGCTTCTGTGCTTTTACTTGGTAAATTTAGTGATGGTAGCTCCCCATCTTTCAACTTTTTTTTTGTTTCATAACACCAAATTTGCTAAGAAAAAAGAAAAGTGAAGCTCACAAATCCATAGTTTTTTATGTTCAAAATCGTTTATTTTCTTTCAAAGAATATCATCAACAACTCGATCTTTTGTGATAATGTTAATCAAGTCTGAAGCCCATTTTTTAGTAAAATCATCCGTTTCTTTAAGAACCTTAAAGAAAGCAACTCCAGTATATCTTCTAGAGATAGAATATCCATAAATTGAACAGTTTTCACCTGGCATTTGCAATATCTATTGAGTTCTTTAAAGAAAAACAGTTAGTTCGTTAGAAAATCAATAGGATTTTTTAAAACTTGTGCAGGGTCAGAGATCTGGGGATAGCAAAAATCGAATAAAATAAGTTCAAACAATCGGTCATTGTTCGCTTCCAGACTAACTATTTCTTATGACTATGTTCTAACGTACATAGCAAATTAGTTTCTTTTTTATACAGGCTCAAAATTTTCAATTGTTGTTAAATTGTTATAAAATATGTTTTTTTTCTCAACTTGTATTAAATTTGGTAGCTAAAATTAACAAATGCCCTAAAAAAAAAGAATAGCTAAGTTGTATGAAAACTTTATAAAAAATATCTTTTTAAATTAAATTTTTTTCTTTCAAATTATTCTAAAATAATTTTAAATTATATTTTTCTAGTTTAAACTAGAAAAATTTATAATTTAAATTTTTAATTTAAATTGTCACTAAAATGTTTAAATAAATGAATTGAATTTACTAAATTCCATTCATTTATTTACAAATTTGATAATTTATTTTAAATTTGAGATTTCATATATTGTAATTAAAAACCGCATAACAAGCCTTCCCAAGAAGCGTGTGCTGTCGCAGCCTTGTTCGTCCATATTTTAAGTAATTTTTAAGATACACTGACCATGGCATTTTGCATATTACAATTTTTTTTAACATTTCAACAAGTTGTGGCAAAAAGCTCAACTTATCTCCTGAGAAAAAAATTCTAAAAAAGGAAACAAAATTGTAACAAAATATCACATTTTAATTAAATAAAATTTAATTATAAACCGCAAACAAGGCAATCGCTACTAAATGCTCAAAAGCTTTTACTATAGAATTACACTTATTGTGTACATATCTTACATTTGATTGTAAGAAATATAACCTATAGGGAACAAAGTTTGATGTAAAATATAGTCAACAAACAACATCCCCAAACACGCAAGTAAAACAAATACGCGTAATTATCCATAGCATGAATAAGGTATTCACTTTACTACTGCAGGTTGGAAACTATAACTTGTGAAATTTTCACTGGTGACAGTTTCCAACAAGTGTTACTGAATATTTCGCTATTCAGCAGAGAATCATGCCAAATATTTGGTATTCGGCAAAATCACAATTTATAGCATCTTTAATATTTATTGCTATTGTTCTACAAAGTATTTGTCCTATTCAAAAAAAAAAGGTCATTGAATTTTGGGAATTTTAAACCAATTTGGAATTCTGTAGTATAGGCGATGCCATCAAGCTGACTAACACCCTGACATCTATTATTTATGCATTTTTTATGTACATCTACTTTTTGTGTATTTTTTATGTTCATCTATTATTTATGCATTTTTTATCTACATCTATTATTTATGCATTTTTTAAGTACATCTATTATTGATTCTATTAATGAAACTGAGCTGTGTAGCAACAGTGCATAATGGAAAATATTTTTTTGTGTGAGCGTTACAATATAAATAATAGTTTATTAGTTTGTAGCAGCTATTTTAGTCTTGTTTACAGCTTGTTTACATTATAAACAATTTTTACAAATTGAAACAAAAACAAAAAACATGTGTTTTACATGTTGATTTAAAAAGTTTAACTGTGAATTTCAGTAAATTATAGTAGATAATATAATTTATAGTAGATAATAATGGTGTAAAACTTAAAAACTTCCATCCTCTCTAATTTTTATTTAAAAAGTCATGGTGAAACTATAACAAATGCTTTTTTAAGCTTTTTTCTTTTAACTGTTTAGAGTTGTTTTTAATTTTTATTAAAAAGGTACAATTAAAAAGAGTGCTACAAATAAGCAAGTGCTAGATAAATTGCAAGTTGAAAGAGAAAGAGGTATAACTGTTAAAGCTCAGGTAAGAAAAATCATTCAGCATTTTTTAAATACCTGTTAAGTTTGTCATACGTTTTGTATATTTTGTTTTTTTATAGACATCATCTATGTTCTATAATGTCACCAAAAGTATAAGCTGTTTATTTAACTTAATTGATACACCAGTAAGTTTTTTTTTTTATTTTGTACTTTACAAAATTTATGTCTAAAATAATATTTAGTTTGTTGATGCATAATGACATTTTGATAGTATTTTGTTTTGGTCAAATAAAATTTTGTTTGTTTGTTTTACTGTTTGTAATTTTTTTTTCTTTTTTATGTGTTTTTTTGTTTTTTTGCATTTAAATTTTTTATGAAATTTAATGCATAAAATGTTTTTATAATATATATTTGCATAGTAAGAAATAATTGTTCTGCACATTGTAATATAAAAAATAATTATAACTAATAATTATTTTTTATATTACTTTATAGTAATTATTTTTTATATTACTTTTATATTATATAATATAAAAAATAATTATAACCATTAGTAGCAGTTATAATTGTTTATAAATTGTAATGCATGTACACACATCTTTTAATAATGTTTTTTAAATATATTTTTTTTTTAATCAATTTTTTTTATTTAATGGTTTTTTCCTGATTTGTATTTTTTCTTTTTTTTTCTTTCTTTCTTTAGGGTCATGTTGATTTTGGTTATGAAGTTTCCAGATCTCTTGCTGCTTGTCAAGGTGCTCTTCTAGTTGTAGATGCTGCTCAAGTAATGTTTTATTGTAATGATTTAATCTATAAAAATGGACGTATGATTGAACCCATTTGCTGACCACGCAAATGATTTTTTTTTGTTGACAACTTGACCATGATTGTTTAGATGTTTTGATGATTTAAACATTTCAGAATGCGCTGAAAAAAGTAACGCTAAGCTAAACAGTTTAGCTTAGTGTTTTTAAGTCTTTTTTTTTTTTTCCAGATTCAAGCTTCTAGTTGGAACTTTTTAAAAAAAGTTCGAATCTGAACATGTTGGAACTATTACCGAAAAAATTTGAACTATTTTGAACTTTATTTTAGTTATGTTAAAACACACAAAAGTAATACAAAGTACGTGTTAAAGTATTTATTTGTTTATCATCATTAATTAGGACAAAAGCAAATAACATTAATGAGTATTCTTCATAGTTTGCTTTAAAAAAGATAGTGCCTCTAAAGTTAATCTAAGTACTTGGGCTTAGCTTTGCCAGCTTCAAAACCAGGCATTTTCTTTTGAACAAGGTTTGTTCCAATTTCCTGATGGTCAAGCTTTAATTCACTTTTTGATTGTTCAATTCAAACTTTTCATTGAACAATCAGACAAGTGTCTGATTGTTCAATGAAAAGTTTGAATTGTTGAGCTAAATTCAATTCATTTTTGATACTTATCATGTTGTTAATTATTTACTTCCTTGTCATCATCAGAGCTATTGTCAGATGGCTGAAATAATCATTGAATGAGATTAGTAGCAAGATTAGTATTTATCTTTTTTTTAATCTTGTTGCTAAATCGGTCATTTTTATTTAAGACATTCGGTTTTGACAAGTATTTCATGAGATGAATTAAATGAATGTTTCTTCTTTCAATTATACTATATTCAAATTTCTGTTTAACAAGTTGACTTAAAGGTGTATTAGCTTCATGAAGTTTTTTCTTGTAAATTCAATCACATTTTTCAAAAGATCAGTATCTCCTTTTAAAAGAGTATTAATGGCCAATTTTAATGGTTTTAAAACAACACAAAGTTCATTTATGACATCAACCTCATTTTTAGTTTAAGGAAAATCAATATTCATACCAATCAGAGCTATTTTTATTTCTGTTTGTACCTCCAAAAAATGTTCAAGCGTATCAATAGTGCTGCTCCATTTTGTCCTTGAATCACAAATCAAAGCTTTTCCTTTTTAAATTTTTCAATTATATTTGGTTGACGTTCATCATCATGTGATCAACTATGTATTTGGTTGAAGTATGTGAACCATGTGATCAACTATGTTTTTTTGTAAAGAACACATCAATCACGCATAGATGAATAGTGCGGTTGTAAGACATTTGATATTCAGGTTTAGTGTCATGATCAATTTTTTTCATAAAGCTAGCACCATCAGTAACATCAGCTACAATGTCTTTGTCTAAATTTAAATCAAATAAATTAGGCTTATCACTAATCAATTTAATGGATTTTGTTGCTGGACTTGTACCTTGGATTCTTAACACTCGAAGAAATTGAAATCCTTCATTATGATGTAGATTTAAGACATCTTCTAGACGTCTTTTATAAAGGCGTTTTTAAAATGACGTCTTTTAAAGTTTAAAAAGACGTTTAAAAGACGCATAATAAATAGTCTAAAAGACGCATTAAAAGACGTCTAGATCTAGGCTAAAAGACGTCTTTTCTGAGACCTGTTTATAAATATGTCATTATGACTTCTTTTTGACGGCTTTGTCATAACGCGTTAAGTAGATGTCATATATTCAAAGTAAAAACATAGTTTTTATTATTTTCAATAATTTGTTCAAATTTTAAGTGTAAATTACTTTAAATTAAATTACTTTTTTACACAATTGCTAAAATTTAATCAGTTTTCCAATTGAGATTAGAAGTGATTGTCACACCAAGGTCGCATTCAGAGTCTGTTGAGACAAAGGCATGACAAGTATATCTAAAGGATATATTGTAACTAAATTTAGGGTTACCATAGCCAAAATGCATAACTTTACATTTATCAACATTCAGTTTCATGAGCCAAATTTCTGTCCAAGTTGAAATTGCATTTATTTCTCTTTGTAAATTTTGGGAATCATTTGATATTCTGGCTATTAATTTGATCATTTATTTGATATTCTGGCTATTAATTTACTGTCATCAGCATAAAGCTTACAGGAATAATATTTTAGGACATTTGGAAGATCATTTATATAGATTATAAATAACAGTGGTCCCAGCACATTTCCTTGTGGTACGTCACTAGTGACATTGGCCCAATTTGAAATGCTATTTCCAAGCACAACAGGTTTAGATGTGGCACTTTGACGAATGCTCTGGCAAAATCTAAAAAAATTACATCAGCCCACTGTTTTTTTGAGAGTATTGCTGTGACTTTGTCTAATGTTTCCAATAAATTAGTAACACAACCTTTATTGCGAACAAATCCATGTTGTTGTTTGGCTATGAGTTTATTAGAGATGATTATAACTAAGTAGAGATGATTCATAACTGTGTCTTTTATGATACCCTCCAAAAGTTTGCTGGGTTACTACGATTACCACTATTATGTAACAATGTCACATTGGCTCATCTCCACATGTCAGGGATAATTCCTTCCTCTAAAGAGCTTGAAAATATCATAGAGTGGCTTGGAAAATTCTATATGGCATGCTTTTAGTGTCCAAAGTGAGCTCCATCGACCCCTGGAGCTTTGTTAATGTCCAAGTTGAATAGACGTTTACTAATTTCTTTAATGGACAGAGTTGAAAGTCTAATATTTGCTGATGTACGATTCTCAAAATGTGGCGCCAGTACTTTATTTGATTCCTCTACAAATGCAAATTTTAAATAATCATTAAGAATGTTGCTAATGTCTGTTCCAGAGTTTGATACTGAGCCATCGATGTTAGTCATATTGCTTATCAACTTGGATGCTATTTGCTTCAGTTTCACATAACCATATAATCGCTTTTTATTTGATTTATCATCTACAATATATTTTTCATAATTTAATACAGATTTTTTTAATACTCTTTTTACTTCTTTTTAACTTATAATTGACAATGGATATAATTTTTGAAAGAGTTTGCTGTACTAATATCCATAGTTGTTGTTTTCTTTTATTTAAATGTTTTAGTGACCTGTTCATCCTAGGTGGTTGAATTTATATATATATATATATATATATATATATATATATATATATATATATATATATATATATATATATATATATATATATATATATATATATATATATATATATATATATACATGTGTTTAATAGGGTATATATATACATATATATACATGTGTTTAATAGGGTGTCCAAGCTCAGACTGTTGCAAACTTCTTTAAAGCTATAGATGCAGGATTGACTATTGTACCAGTAATTAATAAAGTAAGTTATTAAATAATTTTTTTAAATTTATTAAAAAATGACAGTATTCATTTATTTTCATTTACTTAAATTTCTTTGTTTTATTTTTGTTGATCTTCCCAAAGCCAAGACTGTGATCATTTAATGAGACTTCCCATTGTTTTTATTTAAATTGTTGCTACAACATTTTCTCAGTAAAATATTTCTGAAATACAAATCTTGATAAGCAATATGGCTTCACAGATAAATAAATTAAATGTTCTACCAATTATGCGTAATAGAGTTTAAACTCTGTGCCTCTTGCTTGAGAAGTGAGTTACCTACCACTTTACTACTTTTGCATAGTATTACCACATAATATTTCATAGTTAAAGTAACTTTAGATTTATCCACTACAAACATTGAAAACATTTGTGATTGTAGATAGATCTTGCCAGTGCCAATGTTGCAAATGTTTGTAAACAAATGGAATCTACTTTTGACGTGTTATCTGAAGAGATTATCAAGGCAAGTAATCTTAAACATTTTTCTAATTTTTTTTTACCATGTTATACTTTTTTTAATAATTCTATATTATATTACTAATATACTTTATTTTATATTACTCCTATTGACATTTTTACTGTCGATACTTACAGTCTTCATTTTGATATACTAATGATTTTAATAGCAAAACAATTGTGCAGTTATATATATATATATATATATATATATATATATATATATATATATATATATATATATATATATATATATATATATATATATATATATATATATAATATATATATATATATATATATATATATATATATATATATATATATATATATATATATAGTATAAACACACACACACAAACATACACATATGAATAGCTGGCTTAAAATCTTATTTTGGTGGATTGAATATTTATTAAAAAACTTTTCAGAAAAAAATAAGGCAAAGAAACATGTAAAAACAAAGAACTTTTTTTTTCTGTGATAAAAATCTTATGTATCCTGATAGGACCAGCTTAAATCCGAGTTCAATCCCCACCATGTCCCTGGTAGTACCGGGCTCAACTCGTTTCTCCACGCAGCGTCCTTGTTCGTCAAGGTTCGTGTTTCAGAGTTATAGAGTTGAAAGAGGGTTATAATATATACCACAAATAAGTAGCCTTCTGTTCTGTAGTGGCCTTCTCGGCCTTGAGAAGGTAAATTAATAAAAAAAAAAAATTCCTCAACAAGTATTTTTTTAATAAATCTTAGTAAATATTTTTCATCAATTGTAGTAAATATTTAAATATTTTAAATATTTTTTATATTTTATAAATTTTTTATATAGGTTTTAATAAATATTTTCTATAAATTTTGATAAATATTTTTTATAAAGTTTAAAAAAATATTTTTTAAAATTTTAATACATGTTTTTTTATTATAAATTAATAAATTATAAGGAATAATTAATTATATTCAAAACTTATTAATTGTAAATGATTTTTAATGAAAACTTTTACTGTTTAACAAAAACAAAGTACATAGTTTGACCAAAATTATAGGAGATAAGGTCAGTGTTTCCTATAAAAATCGAAAAGAGATTTTAGTCTATTGTTATTTTTTAAAATATATTTTTTATAATGAGTAAACCAATGTCATTCAATTAGGAAGCCTATATTTGCATCCTTAAAGTTAATAATGAATCACATTGACTTTGACCTCACTGTTTAATCAAAAATGAGATTTATAGACCTTCCAAATGTACTGCAAACGAAATATTTGTGATCTACTTGTTCAGTGGTGATAATGACTCAAAAGTATGATGGTCCTGAAACCAAGCTGAAGCAGTTAAAACTCGTTATGAGCGTGCTCAACATTTTTTTCTAAACAATTTAAAAGTGTCATTTTTATTGAAGTGAGCAAAACTCAAAAAAACAAATAAATTAAATCATAGTATTTGCGAAATTAAACAATACATAATAATTTTTTTTACTCAGTAACGTATATGATTTCAAATGTAGTAAAGTACAATACTTTAGAAAAAAAAATACTTAAGTAAAAGTAAGAGCACACATTTAAAAAAATACTCAAAAAGTAAAAATTCTCAAAACAACTACTCAATTACAGTAACACGAGTAAATGTAATTTGTTACTTTCCACATCTAGTCATGATACTACTGCAAATGAAGATGCAACACTCTTCTTGCAACAATGCAACACTTTTCTATTTTTTTATATTAAAGTTAAAAAACTTTATTTAGTCTTTGAAGTTTGCTTGAATATTGTTTTTGATGACTATTTTTACAGGTATCTGCTAAAGAAGGTATTGGAATTGATAAACTACTTCAAGCTATATATGAAAAAGTACCAAGGTATATTTATTTATCTTTATATTACCAATAACTAAATTTAGGTTGATAGTTTTCAAAATTTGATAGGTTTTATGCTGAATCTTAACATTTTTCAAACAGTTAATTGAAAAGTGAATATAAACGAACTTTTTTTTATGACTACATGTATTTAAAAAAGTTCTTTCTTCATTAAACTATGATCTTTGCAACAAGAGAATTTATGTTATGCTGTTTCTGCCACTCTTGTTTCTGCCACTCTTGTTTCTGCTACTCTTGTTTCTGCCACTCTTGTTTCTGCCACTCTTGTTTCTGCCACTCTTGTTTCTGCTACTCTTGTTTCTGCCACTCTTGTTTCTGCCACTCTTGTTTCTGCCACTCTTGTTTCTGCCACTCTTGTTTCTGCCACTCTTGTTTCTGCCACTCTTGTTTCTGCTACTCTTGTTTCTGCCACTCTTGTTTCTGCCACTCTTGTTTCTGCTACTCTTGTTTCTGCTACTCTTGAGCCTTTGTCATGTTATTGTAAGGTTACATCACGTTTTCTTTTCTAAAAATATTACCATGGTTGCTCAAGTAAGCTATTATCTCTTGCTCCACTTTTTAAAATACAATCTTGTGTAACTTGTCATTCAGCAAAGTGGCATTCTTTTAACTCTTTTTAAATTAATTGAAAACCACCTGAATGCTTATGTTTCTTGTAGAGATGTTTTGCATTTAAGTGTTTTGCAATTAATATAAGAAGAGTTTTCCATTCTTAGTTAATAATAGTGTCTCTTTTTTAGTAGTCTATTGGTAATCAAATTATTAAAGTTTTCTTTATTTTTTGTTTGTTTATAAAGAATAAAGGTTTCTTTTTTATAAAGTCTTCAGTTTTCTATTTAATAAATCTCACTAATTGAAACGTGTTTATGTGTTCTAGCCTCTTTCTGCACTGGAACATTTTATGCCTCCTTTCCTCAAAGAAATATATAAATAAATAAAAAAAGTAGTTAAAAAACAAAATAATAAAAATAAAAAAATAAATATGATTCAAAAATTATTAATTCAGTGTTTTTATAAATTTTTATTGGAGTGTTTTTAGAAAAAAATGTATTTACTTTGTAATTCAAACACGATTCTTGTCTTTTGCAATTAGAACTTTGTTTTTACGAGAATTTTGTTTTGTTTTTAAAACTAGAGTTTTTTTTGTTTTTAGAACTAGAATTTTTTGTTTGTTTTTAAAACAAAAATTTCAGGTTCCTTATTGAATGTTTGTGTTCTTTCCCCCAAATTTTTATTTTGGCTGGCTCTCATAGTGGTTGTTAGCAGCAATAAAAATTAAAAAATTTGGGCTATCCGGCTGGCCCAGCTTTGTTATTCATGCAAGTTCTGAAAAGCGTTTTAGATTTTTTTAAGAAAAACCATTTAAGAAAAACTTGGTAATTTTATTTTTTAATGTTAAATAAATGCATTATGAGAATAAGAAACTACACCTTTTCAAGATGTAATTGAGAACTTGAAAGTTATAATTAAGAAACATTAGATGTAATTAAGAAACGTAAGATGTAATTTAGAAGATGAAAGTTGTAATTAAGAAATGTAAGATGTAATTTAGAACATGAAAGTTGAAAGAAAAATTAGATGAATAATAAGACAAACTATTTATTTACAAAAAAATATAAAGATTTAAATTGAATTTAATGTTGTTAAAAATCAACCCAAGTTGATGTTGTTAAACATCAACTTGGGTATCTTTCATATTTAAAATTGTTGCATAATGCTTTGTAGTATGTTGAGCAGCATGTGCACAGTCACCTCCTATTATTGTATTTTTTGCCGCAGAACCAATTCTTTTTGAATACTGTATTTGTTCTTCCACAATCCCAGCACCAAATACGCATTTTTACCGTTACTTAAAATTTTAGGCCAGATTATTTTCACGGGAAAAGATTACTACATCTGTCCAACAACATCCGTGGACTAGTGAAATAACATTCGCACATTTTTGTGTAAGATCATCCGCTTTTTTTCTTTACTGAATTAACATCTGTGCAACAACATCCGAAATTTCATTGATGTATAATAACATTTTTAGAAAGATGTAACTATATCCGAGAGTTTTTCTCGATGTGTAACTACATCCGCCAAAAATAATGCATTTTTTAAAATAAAATAAAAAATAAAATAAAATAAATTTCCAGATGTAGTTACATCCGAAAAATATCAGATGTGTAATTACATCTGGTTAAAATAATACATTTTTAAATTACTTTTTTCACGGATGTAGATACACCTGAAAAAAATCAGATACGTAACTACATCTGGTTAAAATATTGTTTTTTTAAAAAATATATATTCCGGATGTAGTTACATCCGAAAAAAATCAGATGTGTAATTACATCTGCTTAAAGTAATGCAATTTTTAATTTTTTTTTTCCCGCATATGGGATTGCTGGTTACAGTATACAGTATAGTAAGTTTACCGTAAACTTTACCGTATACTTGGTATACTAAAAGTTACTACACACTTTACTATACCAGTTTTCTTTTACTTGTAAAATATTTGAGGACCAACTTGATGATTTATTACTTACATCATATTAATGAATTAAGTAATTATATGAATAAAATGAATAAATAATTAAAATTTCTTATATATTTTATCAGTTTACATATACGCTAAAAATTAAGTACAGTAGAATCCCATTAAGTCGGGAATATTATAGTCTGACATCTGACTCTCGGTAGGTATAGAAAGTTCAAGGGGAACTTAAAATTTGTCCGACTTAGTAATAGTCTTTTAAAAGTCTATTTTTTTTACTTTTACTTAGTAAAAGTAAATGAGTCAAATGGATTCTACTGTATATATAAATTTAATTTACTTATAGCGCAAAAACTGTTTGTGGCCGAGAGGATAAAGCAATTCCTTGCATGCAAAGACTCGAGGTCCAACTCTTAACGTTGTCTTTTTTTTTTTATAATAAGTTTTTAAAATCTTGTATATACTTTAGTCAGTACATAGGTTACTAATACAAAGAGATGTCGCAATAGGGTAGAAAAAATCCAGAGTTTATTACAGGTTTGCAGAAACTGGTAAAAAAATTGACAAAGAAATTGAACAAAGGAGTTTTTGTCTATAGGCAATGTCTGAATAACTAGCGCTCCTAAGAGGCGCCCAGCCTATAAAAATTAGTGGACTAGCAGGGTCCCCAATTTCAAAGTGTATATTAATTTCTATATAAATTCTATACATATTGCATATATATATATGCTTTTTCTTCATTTATTTTTTTAGGAATAGGGCCGTAAATATTTTTTAACATCCGGCCCCCAAGAACCTTAATCCGGCCTAGTCTATGGCTCGCCAAATGTGTCAATACAAGTACAAAGTTACCAATCTAGATTATCATACATTTTAAAATCATATCCCACTCACAGTGATTTTACAAAGTTAGTATTTTGCCATCAAAGGTTTGGGGACAGACAAACCAAAATATATAATTTATAATTAATATCGTTTTTATTGGAAGATTATGTTTTACCCCAGTCTATATTTTAATATTGTTTTAGTGTCAAACATTTCGCAGAGTATCAACTTAAATTGTAATGGGAGTTAAATAAAATGGGAAATCGCTTGTAGAAAAAGTAATGTGTCATGATTTAAAACAACCTTATACATACCCCCCAATAATTTATAATATATTTTAGCTCCAATCTTTTCAATAATAAGGAGGTTTTAGGTAGGGACGGAAAGTTATCAAGCGAAAACACTGTCATAAATCGACCCTCTGGTTGCAATTTAACCAATTTAAAAAAAAAAAGCCATCATATAGATATTTATTATTAAATGAAAAATTAACCATTTTAAAAATCTAAGAGTGCATTTTAAGACTGAACGGAGGGGCTCAAAACTTTATTAAAAATATTGATAACAAGAGGGCCGAGGGGCCTTGGCAACTTGCCAAATTTTTATTATAAAATATAAATCTAGCATAAAATATACAAATATATTTAAATTTTTTGTTCACATCCCCCCCTTCCTCCACCCTCTAAAGAAAGAAATATGCGTTGCAATCCTTGAAAGGTACCAAGACTCAGGGTCGTCCCGATAGGGGGTTTTGGGGTACCTTTCCCCCTTCCCTCCCCCCCCCTCCCTAAGCTGTTAATTTTGCATGTCAGTTTGCAAATTTGTATATTTATCAATTTTGGTATTATTATTTACAGTTGGTACATTTGTATATTTTTGTAGTGGAATTTTTCTTGTTTCAAAGTGGAAGCTATTAAAGTTCCACCACTTGTTGGAAACATCAGGCGTCAATATTTTAAGAGAAGGAGGAAATATTTTATATAAGTGCAAGAGAGTGCTAGATAATGTATAATATTTGGACAGATGTCCAGTATTGAAGAGTGGTATTTAAGAGGGGAGTATTATTCAGTGATTAAGTTAGAGTTGTGTGAGTGTTGTTTAAGTTAAAGTTGAGTAAGCGTTGTTATAGTATTCCGTATGTATTCCGTATTGTTTATGAAAATGGTGGAGGGGGGGGGGGGGAGGAGATATAAACAAAAATTTGTATATTTTATGCTAGACTTATATTTTATATTTAAAAATTGGCAAGTGGAGGTCCAGGGCCCCTTGTTCCTCTTATTATCAATATTTTTAACAGGGTTTTTATCACACTTGGTCTAAACATGCACCCTTGGATTTTTATAATGTTGGATTTTTCCTCATAAATATCTATAAATTTTTTCTAAAGTTAGATAAAGTACAGCGCACAGTGGGAAGAAGGGTGGCCAAAATTAAAAAGTTAATTAATTTTTTTGGATTTTTAAGTGGTAAATTGAAAAGCTAAAGCAATTACTATGAATATGTTAAAAAGTTAAAAAAAATTCAAATATTAATTATGAAATATTTATGTTCAAAGTCAAACTATTTGGACATATATACATTGATGGAAAGGTCCTTGAGACTAGCTTTTAATTGTTGAAGTATTTTAAGAAAAATTCGAATGCAGTTGTGCAAGTAAGGCCAAAATATAAAAAAATATCACAAAATAATCAAATGTTTCAACTTTGGTGGAGCAGGAAAACTAAATTATAATTCTTTACAATGTGGTCTCATCACGCTATACATGCTCTGAAAAATTAAGCCGCCCTTTTTTGCTCTTTTTTGAAATAATTAATATTTGCCATTTTTCTACTACTGTTTTCAGTAGCAGATTCAATTTTTTTAATATTTCAGATTATATTTATTAGGGCAGTTTATAAACTTTTTAAACTAAGTTCATGCTTATTTCAAAATATAATATATAAAAAAAAAATACTTTGATTAAAGCCTGCGGACAAAATACATCAAAAAATTTACCACCCCTGGCTCAAACGCCAGGGCATTGAGTTAATAAAATATTTAAGTTGACAATCTTACACTAAATTTAAAATCATTGACAGGTTTTAAATTTTATCTAATAATCTTTAAGCTTTTGATAGTTATGACCATTTAAAATTTACAATCCCTCAATGGATTGAGGGGGTTGTAAATTTTAAATGGTCAAAACATTCGAATTCAAAATAATTTTTAGATGAAATTTAAAACCTGTTGATGAAATTATATTTTGTATAATATATCTTATTGCCCTTGCGCTCGGGGTAAACATGGGGTCTTTTAGGAATATTTTTGTTCCCAGGCTCCAATCACTGATGCTTTTTGTTTAAGTTGCTGCCTCTTTATTAAGATCTTCATTAAACGAATCCCTATGATTGCTTCCACATGGTTGGCAGTCCAATTCATTTTGTGATACCACATCAGGTTTTGTTTTTTTCAAAAAGTTTTGTCAACTTAGGTATGAACGCAAAAAGAAAATAAAAACAGTCGTCTATATTGTGAAATTTTCAATTTTTTATAATTCAATAAAAAATTATTATTAACTAAGAAAAAGGAATTTGTTCCTTACAAGCTGGCCTCTCCAAACGCCCTGGACACGCAGCGGCTGCCTATGATTTAAATTGGTTTTTGTAGATTCGGAATCCCTGTGAAATTTTTCAAAATAATAAACTCCGCTTATTTAAAAAATTTGTCACATTCACGTTTAAAATATGAAAAACTGCCTAATTTTTGTTAAAACACCTTTTACAAAAACTCACTTTATGTGTTCATTTTTATTACTTTTTGAACTAAATATAAAATTTTCTTAAAATTCAACATAATATTTATTTCGTATTTTAAATATTTTGAAAAAATATATTTTTTAAATTAAAATTTCCCCTTGTTAATTAGTCATATTCTAGTCATTTTTCCATTTAAAACAACGCCAACTCACTCAGCAAGACAATATTTTTATTTATTTTTTTTAGATTTGGAATCCTCCTAAAATTATTCACCTAAAGTCACCTTGCTGTTTTTGAAATTGTGAAAAAAGTAAAAATTGACACACCTTACTCTCATAGGCAGTGGATGACTGGCTTTTTAAATAGGTTTAAAACAGGCATGTCAAATTGGCAGCCTGTAAGTGAAAGCGATAGCTCTATTTCATAGGGGTCTATTCATTATAGGATAAAGACAGAGTTTTAATAAAGTAGTTTGATGAATTTTTAGATGCCAATGAGTGCCAAAGATGTCCAGCTTTAACGTCCAAGTTAAGTGTTCTAAGCAGCCTAAACCGTTCCATAAAATAAGATCTAAATTTTTGGCAATGAAAACTATCTATATTGATTGTGTTTTAAATATTATTATGTTTTGTAAACAAAGAGAGTCTATTTTTACGATTTCTAAAGCAATCGGTTTTAAAATCACAATTCAAATAATCAATTTTTATAAATAAATTATTTTTCGGATGTAGTTACATCCGAAACAACATTTCAGATGTAGTTACATCCGAAAAAAAATAAACTTGTAACTACATCTGGTTATATAATGTATTATTATAGATTTTTTTTTCCGGATGTAGTTACATTCGAAAAAAATCAGATGTGTAACTACATCTGGTTAAAATAATGCATTATAATAATTTTTTTTTGGCGGATGTAGTTACATCCAAAAAAAGACAGATGCGTAGCTACATCTGGTTAAAATTATGCATTTAAAAAAAAAAAAAAAAATTTGGATGTAGTTACATCCGAAAAATCTACAGATGTAGTTGCACGGATGTTATTATACATCAATGAAATTTCGGATGTTATTTTACAGATGTTATTATACATGGCAAAAACAGATGTTATTGCCCTGACCCATTTTAAATTTAAATTTGATTTAAATTTGGACTGTAGGGTTCTAAACGTTACACCTGAGCTGGAGAATTTTTAAACACCCTTTCAAAATGAGCGTGATCTGTTACGATGGCTAAATCCTCTAAAAGTTTCCTGAATGTAACCCACTGCTGAAACATAACCAACATTTACTTGTTACAAGATTCTGCATTAAATGATTCTCTGCAAGTTTCCATCATAACAACATTTGTTGTTGATATAGCTGCAGTCAAATGTATTTTGTACCTTTTGAAGCAGGCATTTTCATTATTGGTCTTCTTTCTTGTTAAGCTTGTCCTTGCGTTTTTCTACAAAAAAGGTTAAAATTTGTTTCATCCAACCAAACTATCTGATGACCATTTATAATATGTTCATTGATATTCCTAACATTTTCATTTTCTTTTTTGTTTGTTTTCATTACTGTTTTTTGTAGAATGTACCTTTTTAAATAAAAATTATCTACTTTCAAGGTAATTTGGGGTTGTTCTTGTGTTAACGCTAATATTAAATTGTCTTAATATTTTTGTTTTGGTAAGTTGTCATGATATTTTTGTTTTGATCCTCAGTCAATTTTTTGGTTTAAAACCACCTCTTCTGATAACATTTGAATTTCTGCTGCAAACCCAATTGAAAGGTAACCCCTAAGTTTTGCGCCAGAGTCATCTAATTGTCATTGGGTAAATCTGGTGCAAAATTTAGGGGTCAAATTAACACATTCAGCAACTCTTCTTCATCAGTGAAGATAATACATGATATTTTTTTTCAACCTGCTTGGTTGTATGTATTTCATGCCAACAAATTAGGTAAGTTGGTTCTGGTTGTTCCAGAGGGCGAATGTAAGGTAATTTGGTGAAATAAATACGGATACAGATTCAATTTAATAGCGGACTTTCGGGTAATAACACAATAATTTTTTTAATTCCATTACTATTGCTGGTGCATACAAATGCTTAATTTGATATTATTCAGATAAGAATGTGAATTCGCAATTACAAATTATGTATTCTCAATTACATTTTATAATTTCTTATTTACATGTTGTGTTTCTTAATTACATATAATGATTTCTTATTTCCATGTGTTTCTCAATTACATTTCATGGTTTCTTAATTACATGCTGTGTTTCTTAATTACATATTACGATATCTAAATTACATGTTGTGTTTCTTGATTACATTTTATGATATCTAAATTACATGTTGTGTTTCTCAATTACATATTTTGATTTCTTAATTACAACTTTCATGTTCTCAATTACATCTTGAAAAGGTGTAGTGTTAATTTGAAACACCATGATGACACATAAAGTGTAAAGTTATTTATTCATCCAGTTGTTGTTAAAAATGTGTCAATGATCCAAAATTGTATTGGTAAATAACTAAACATTTATCTGGTTTAGCTGGCCAGAAAAGTTTATTAAAAGGAATGTTCAGTTCAGCTCATCTGAAAAACTAAAAATCTTTGAACTGTTAGGATGATGTCCTCTGAAATAGTTTACTGTTTGTGTGTGAACTTCACACACAAAATAAGTGTCATGTTTGTTGTTTCTGACGTAAAGCAAAACAATTTTATTACAAATTCATTATTTTTGACAGATAGATAGAAGGTAACAGGGTGTAATGAATATTAATTTATGCTCCAATGTTGACTTTGAACCTTATCTTGAACCACAAACATGTAATTTTCTGCAAAATCATCCAAGAAATAACAGCAATTTTTCTTTTAAAGCCTTAAGTATCATATTTGACATTTTGTAATATAGGAATGAACTGTTAACTTGTCTATGAGGACCATATCACTTTGTATTCTTTGTAATGAAATGTTGTTGTCTATCTGATCAATGCTGTGCGGTCTGTAGTAAAAGTTCCATCTCATCATCAGCATTGTTAATTAGCTATGCATCAACAATCTATTTAAAAAAATTATGAATAAATTTTTATTTTTAAAGCAAATGCTAAACTAATTTTTTATGTTTTTTGGTTCTTTTATCTGTTGTTTAGTTTTAATTCTATAATTATTATTTTTTTAATCTAAAAGCTAATATTTATGAACCTTTTTTTTAAGCCCTAAAACTAGTGTTAAAGAAGATTTATCTTTATTTTTGTTTGATTCATGGTATGACGTGTACAGAGGAGTTATCAATTTAGTAACTGTAAAAAATGGAAAGATTTCAAAAGGTTTTGTATTAATATTTATAATTTAAAAAATTTATTTTTGGATTTATTTCATATTGAGTTAATATTTAGGTGATAAACTACAATCTGTTCATAGTGGAGCAACATTTGAATGCCTTTCCCTTGGCATCTTGCATCCTGATGAGTGTCCTGTAAATACTTTGTAAGTAAATTTAAAAAAAAAATATTTTATTTGAGCTATTTAAAATAAGTTATTAATACAAATTATTAATACAATCTGTCGGGTTGTTTAATAGTTAAATCTTGTCTAATTGTTCAAAAAGGACAACTATTTAGTTTGTCTGGTAGTTACAATCTGTTGGGTTGTCTGGTAGTTATGTCCTGTCAGATTGTCTGGTAGTTACAACCTGTTGGGTTGTCTGGTAGTTATGTCCTGTCAGATTGTCTGGTAGGTACAATCTATTGGGTTGTCTGGTAGTTATATTCTTTAATACTATCATATAGTCATCCAGTAATATGACTGATTTTTCATGTATTTAATTTTAAAATTTTTTTAACACAATCTTGTTTTCCTGCATTTTTATTTATAACTTCATTTTGGTTTTTGTAAATTCTGTAGATTACTCTTTTAACCAATCAATTTGACTTTTCTAACCAATCTCTTTGACTCTTTTAACCATTGCCAAATCAATCTTCTTAGTATTATGTCTTTTTAATATACAATATACTCTTTAACACTCAGTAGGATTTCCATCTTCTTGTTCTACTGCCAATATGCTAACTGTTATAGCAGAAATATTTTAACAAGCATTAGATAGAAGTGGTAAGGCAAAGGTGTTGGTCTTGATATATCAATGACTTTCAATAAAATCTGGCGTGTTGGTCTTTGGGATACCACATAGTTCTATTCTTGATCCTTGTTGCTTCTTGTGTTGATCTTCTAGATAATTTTCTTAATAAGCTCTCAAGTTCTACTTGCTGATGACAACTATATATTCCAGTCTTGACAAAAAAAACATCATTTTTTGATCATTTATAAAAGGCAGATAATTTTTGATCTGATCTTTCTAGTGTGACAGCTTTGGTCGTGCAGTGGCTGGTGAATTTTAACCTAAACAAACTTAATTGTTGATTAGTTATAATTATTGCATTATATTGATAAATGGAAACACTCTTGCTGAGTCCTCTACTTTGCATCTTCTCAGATCATCATTCACTACTAAACTCTAAAAAATATATATACAATCCATTGCAAGGTTAGCATCTGCAAAGGTTGCCTCTCTTTGTTAGGCTCCCCATTTTCTTACTCTTTTTTCCATTTTTTCAAATATAAATCTGTTACTTGACCTTGTATTGAATACTGTTGTCATATTTGAGCTGGTTCTTCTAATGAGGTCTTTTATCTTTTAGGTCCAAAAATATATTTTGTTGTTCAACTTGCTCTAACTGCTAAACTTGAGTCTCTGTCGAATTGTCAAAAAATCTTTTCTCTTTTTCTCGTATACCACCACAGTTACTGTTTAACCGAGCTATCATATTTCATCAATTAAAATCAATTGTTAGATCTTGTCATTCAGCAATGTCAAGTTGCATCCTTTTACTCTCAAAATAATTTTTATCCTTTTAATTTTTTTCTTCAAACATCAGTGCTTTAAAATTTTCTCTCATCTTCATGTTTTTCTGATGCATAAAACACAATTCACAACAACTTTTAAGTCTTCTGTTAATTTCTTGCAGTTCTTTAAACTCTCTTCTTTGTTTCTGTCAACTTCTTGCAGTTCTTTGACCTCTCTTCTTTGTTTCTGTTAACTTCTTGCAGTTCTTTGAACTCTCTTCTTTGTTTCTGTTAACTTCTTGCAGTTCTTTGAACTCTCTTCTTTGTTTCTGTCAACTTCTTGCAGTTCTTTGAACTCTCTTCTTTGTTTCTGTCAACTTCTTGCAGATCTTTGAACTCTCTTCATTGTTTCTGTTAACTTCCAACTTAATTAGTGTTTGCTTACAGCCTTGTTGGTATAGAATTTTATTTTAAAAAAATTATTTCTAGTATTTTTTTTTAATTTTTATTTTTTTGAAGTGTTTTTTTTATTTAATTTTTTTTTTTTTTTTCACCTTTTTAATCTCCTTTTTAATAACAAATGTTAGTTATTAAATTTTAAAAATTGTGTGATATAATAAATATGTTAATATAATTAAAAAAATATTAGTATGCAAAAATATAATTTATTTTGGTCATTTTAAGGAACTTCACTTTAGTATTCTGCTCAATGATAGGTAAAAAAGTATGATAAATTGGCCACTATCAAATTAACTTTTAATGATGTAATTAATAAGGCTGTGTTAAAGTTACAATTAGTGTTGAGCATTTTCGTTACACAATAAAATCTCATAACAAGACCTGAAATTGTATCTTTCGTACATTAGCTTGCACTTGCTACTTTTTTAACATAATATCTCTCCTATTTAAATAATGTCTCAAAATATTCTTGTGTGGAGGGATTTAAAATAGCTTAAGTAACTATTTTTTACAGTTTTTTACAAATTTAAATCTTCTGACAATATTAATACTGTAATTTAATAGTAGTTAATAGTAGTCATTTACATCATTTTAAAGTAGTTTCTAGGCTTTTCTATACATGGTGTATAATTATCGCTGAATTATCTGACTTAATATTAGATCATTATAATATAAAATAATTGTAATAAATGAACTTAAAAAATTTTTTTGGTGTTGCCTTAAAGATTGCCTTACTTGTCTAGGTTGCATTCAAACATCAAAATCGTGATCAACCAAAATCGTGATCAACCAAAATCATGGTTGATCATTATATTGATGTGCAACTATGGCAATCTATACTGAAGGCCTAATCATTGTCAACCTTAAGCTGTGACCTAAGGGCTATGAGGATTTGTGGTTTATTATACTTTCTTTCTTTTATAAATTTGTAAGTTTAAATTAATATAACAAGTTGAACTATTCAAAATAAAAATTTTGTATAAAAAAGTAATAAATGGTTTAGATATATAAATAGATTTTATATTGGGAAAAAAAAGACAAGTTAATAAACTAATAAAGAAAACATTTTTATTTTAACTGCAAAAAATCTTCATCATTTTTTAATATTTTTTTTAATGATAACTTCAAGGTTCTTAATTTTGGTTTTTTATGATAACTTCAAGGTTCTTAATTTTGTTTTTCTATGATAACTTCAAGGTTCTTAATTTTGTTTTTTTATGATAACTTCAAGCTTCTTAATTTTGTTTTTTTATGATAACTTCAAGGTTCTTAATTTTGTTTTTTTATGATAACTTCAAGGTTTTTAATTTTGGTTTTTTATCTTGGTTTAATTTTAAAAAAAAGATATAAACTGAAATAGAATAATATTGTAAGTTTTTTTAAGTTAATTATTGACTACTCATGTAGAATACTTTTTTAATTTTTATTTTTAGTACTATTTAAACTCTTTTATTTAGGTATGCAGGACAAGTTGGTTACATTGTCACTGGAATACGTGATATCAATCAGACTTTAATTGGTGATACTTTCCATCATGTTGGGAAACCAGTGAAACCTACACCAGGTTTTAAGCAACCCACACCAATGGTAATAAAGTTTATTATAAGTATTTTTTTTTTTTTATCAAGTGTTAGTGAATACTCTGAAAAATGAGTGAAAATATGTGTGCAAAAGTATAAGTGCACTCATTAAAAAGTATTAGCTCATTTAATTAAATTTTTTTTATTTGTGAAATTATTTTTTGAATTCTTTTAATTGATTTTTGTTAATTATTCTCTGCTGATTAATAATAGTCAATAAAAGATGTAAGTACTATAAATTGAAGTGACAAAAATGTCATTTAATATACAGTTGAAACTTCAAAATTGTATCAACAAAAAAATGAGTTTAAAGACTGTATCAATTAAAATAAAGTTGCAAGTTGTTGGCATGCACAAAAGTAGTGTCAGCAATTGAGAATTCGGACATCAATTTGAGATCAGTGAATGCAGAACAATGCTCAAAAACTATAATGAGATTGGCACAGTCAAAGACAAAAGTTGCTCTGTCTGTCCTAAAAAAATGTCACAAAGAGTTGAAAATATAGAAAAATTGTACATCAAAGAAACCACTATTAAACATGATAAACATTTTTGAACAAACAAAATGGTGCAAAGAAAGAGCTGCATGGACAGTGAAAGAAAGAGCTGCATGGACAGTGAACGAAAGAGCTGCATGGACAGTGAACGAAAGAGCTGCATGGACAGTGAACGAAAGAGCTGCATGGACAGTGAACGAAAGAGCTGCATGGACAGTGAAAGAAAGAGCTGCATGGACATTAGAGCAATGAAGAAAAGTAATTTTTTTATTAAACAAGTTGAACTTTGAACTTTTCTAATCATAAGAAAAGGATTTTAGTAAGGAAATACAAAAATGAAAAATACAATCTTCGTTTTATCATGCCAAGATTTCAAAGAGGAGGCTCAAGTGGCATATGGGGCAGCATCAATGGATCTAGTACTGGCCTGGCGCATTTTCACACCGATCGACTAAATCAACATTAGTATAGAGAGGTATTCGAAGATTATTTACAACCTTTAATGGAGTTACTCAAATCCATTGTGACTCCATTTGGCAATTTCAACAAGATAATGTTCATTAATTAAATAGTATTAAAACTTTACTGTATATTAGGTGTGAGATCTTTAAGTTATTTTTGTTTATTTTACATGCCAATGTTTTGTTAGGTTTTAAATATTGTATAATTGTTTCAGGTATTTTCAGGAATTTATCCACCAGATCAAGATTCGTATATAGGTTTGAAAAAAGCAATGGAAAAGTTATGTCTTAATGATTCAAGTGTTTCAATGTTTCCTGATAATAGGTATTTCTTTGATTTGTATAGAGATTTTATCTTTTGTAGCAAAGGCTTAAAAACTTTAAGAGACACACAAGAAAAAGAAAAACATATTATTTAAATATGAGCAAAGGTTATAAACGATTATTGTATTTAAATATGAGCAAAGGTTATAAACGATTATTGTATTTAAATATGAACAAAGTTTATAAACCATTATTGTATTTAAAACTGTATGAGGAAAAAATTGATTTTAGTTTTGGTGGCAGAAATATAAATATAGAAAACAGAAGTATAGCAAATCATGTTTTCTTTTATATTTGGATTGTTTTTATTTCTCTTTTTTGCAATGTAGTGCAGCACTAGGCCAAGGATGGCGTGTAGGATTCATGGGTTTGTTACATATGGATGTATTTCGACAGAGACTTTTACAGGTAAAAATTAAATATTTTAAAGATAAACAAATATTATTAATAATATTTCATAAATATTAATAATATCAAAAAAAAAAAAAATCAATGAAACAAATAGTTAAAGAAAAATTATAAGAGTTTAAAATGTTGAATATGTAAATTATAAACTGTTTTAAAAAGTTCAAGGTCATTTTTATGAAATAATTTAGATTTTAAAGTTAAGTTAAATTGTTTTATTTTTATTTTCATGTTTATATCAATTATTACTAATTTTATATAGTAGTTTTTTTATAATATGTTTTTTGATAGTTGTGTTTTCTACAGTAATTTTTGCGATTGTAGAGTTTTAATTTGAGATGGTAAATTGCTAATTTGTGATTGTGTATGGTGTTGATGGTAGATAATGTTGTAATGGTACATGGTGTTGTGATGGTGGATGGTGTTGTAATGGTGGATAGTTATTCTGTGTTGATAAGCTTTTAATTAAGCTTTTTATTATATATTTTTAGTTGAATATCTAGTTTTTTTATATTTAGCTAGATTATAACCCACCAAGTCTGGCTAAACATTAATTTTTTTTTGGCACAATACAATTTAGTGTTAACATTTTGAATGATTAACACAAGATAAACTAATAAACAGCAGATTTATGTTTTGTATGTGATACAATAGATTGTGTACTTACTGAAGTATTTACTTATTTTTTCTTAAAGTTTTTATTTCATTTGTTAACCATAGTTCTTCTTTTTGTTTATCCTTAAACTTCATTTTTATAGATAGATTTTGTTTATCACTGATAAAGTAAAACTAGTTTTTCATTGATTTGTGTTAGTTCTACTTTTAAAGAAACTGTTCCAACTTGGTATACAGAATCATTTTGAACTCAACTTTCTAGTATATAGGGTAACTCAGTGTGGAGTAAATAGCATCATAGTTTAGTCATCAACCAATGAAATATGTCAAAGTATGGTCATCTTTTTTAAAAAATGTTTTTGTTGCTTTTGTTTTTTTATTTATTTATTTGTTTACTGTATTCACCTCCCAATAGCTGAGAGGGTAACTACAGTTGAGGAGGGTGCTCAATTTTTTGTTTTGTTTGCTTTAAGACTTTCTCAACCATATAGCTTCAAATCACAGAGATGTTGAATGTGGGAGTTATACCAAGGATATGGTGGGGATTATTCTATTCTTGCTTATGAAGCAAGTCTTCAACCTCTACACTACTAGCACACATTTCAATTAAGGAACTCACCCTTGTTATAAAGCTTGATATTTACATTTATTTACCCCATACCTTTCATTTATTTTGATTTACCCCATATATCTTATTTGTTTTTATTAATAACATATTTAAAAGGAAACAAGGTTTTTTAGAATTAGTTTATGATACATAACTCTCATTTGATTTTATACCATACCATACCTCACATTTGTTTTTATATCTTACTATACCTCTTGTTTGTTTTTATACCATACCATACCTTGCATTAGTTTTTATAAATAACATATTTAAAGGTATTAGGATTTTTCGGTAAACCAGTGTAAAACCAATTCAATGGAAACCATTTACAAACCACTATTGTATGATGCAACAGAGGTTTGTAAATGGTTTTCACTGAAGTGAGATCTGAAAATAGTTTTTTAATTTACAGAAGTCATAAATAATTTTTTTTTTAAGTAGTTTGTTTAATAAAAGTATTAGAAAAGTAAAAAATTTGCTCACACCTTCAAGTTTGAACCTAAAATGTGTGCATTAATGTATTTGCTTATTATCATAGTTTCAATTAATTTTTTTTTAATGTTTTTAGGAATATAATGCAGATATAATTGTGACCACACCAAATGTTCCTTATCAAGGTAAATATTAATATTCTTATATATTATAATCATAATTATATCATATTCTGATATATTATAAATTTTATGTTTTCTTTAACATTGTTTTTTTATTTGTTTTTTAAACGCTAGCTACTTTAAAAACTCAAAGTTCAGATGTCAGAAAAGAAATTCGGAGCCCACAAGAAGTACGATCATAATTGTTTTTATAAAGTATTTTTTTATTTGTTGTTGTGTCTTTTATTTATTAATATTATTAATTTTTTGTCCAGTTTGAAAATCAATCAAAAGTGAATTGCTATTTTGAGCCTGTTGTTATTGGAACTCTAGTATTTCCTGAACAATATTTAGGAAAGATTATTGAGCTTTGTGAGGTTCTTGTTCAATTTGTTATATTTTACTATAATTGCTTATCTAGTCCAGGATACAGGTTAAAATATTAAAGGTTTAAATTTATTATGAATAGAACAAAAGAGGTCAACAGTTACTATTATCCTACATTGATGACTCCCGTGTTTTGTTAAAGTATCGATTACCTTTGAACGAAATTGTTATTGACTTCTTTGATTTACTGAAATCTGTATCATCAGGGTATGCCAGGTAATCTCTATTTATCTAAATATTTTTAAAATATACTGTGATACAAGAAAATAATTTTTTTTTCTTGCTTACATTTAGTTTTGATTATGAAGATGGTGGCTATATAGAAACAGACATTGAAAAGGTTTAATATTGTCTCATTATTTATGTTTAAAGTAATTTTCTTTATGTTCGTGTTATCAGATTTTAGTTATATATATATATATATATATATATATATATATATATATATATATATATATATATATATATATATATATATATATATATATATGTATATATATATATATATATATATATATATATATATATATATATATATATATATGTATATATATATATATATATATATATATATATATATATATATATATATATATATATATATATATATATATATATATATATATATACACACCGTTAGCTTGGATTCTTATAATGCCTACCTAGCTGTCCCAAGAACACCACTTATACGGAAAGTTAGCGTACACATCAAGGTACCCTGTGAAGCAAATTTTGAAATCATTTAATTTTGTCCACAGAAAATAATTTAATTTGAATGTTCAAATTAAGTCAATTTTTTACTTCATAGTGCGCCAATAAAAATTGGTGCAAATGTAGCCAATAGTCACACCACACTTTGGACAAAATTTCAACCTGATTGGATGACTGGTGTAGGATTTATTGCAGTTTTAGTTGAAGTTTTGTCAGTTTTTTGCTACTTATACCTCAAAGCGTTACTGATTACTTTGAAATTCAGTCACTATTTTTAAAATAACGGTTACATGAGTGTTCTACTATGTAATACCAACAATTTTTGTTATAATTATTTTATCGGTACATGTACAGTTTTCATTTTATAGACCAAAATAGTGATTTGCTACTTAAAGCGTGAATTAAATAGTCTTATGCTAATAGTGTCAACACAGCCTTCAAAGTGGAGGAAGTCAACCCCTCAATTTCTAAAATAAAATCCATAATTTCTAAAATAATTGCCTATATTTCTAAAACAAAAGGTCCCAAGAAAAAAAAAAGTAGAGAAGAATATGACCCCTAGCCTCCCCGGCATTGACGGCCATGTATACTTCGCTTGAATATACCAACATTTCCTAAGGTATAAACTGCTGCAAAAAAAAAAAGCAAAAAAAAAGTAGATCTAAAATATTTTGTACTGACCTCCTTAAATACATTTATTTTTAAAATGAAGTGAAAACTATTTAAACCCTATTTTTTACATTGTATTACCATCAAATATCTAATTACATTTTAAGAAATGTTTTTTTGATTTTCTCCACCAAAAGATTATTAATAAGTAGCTCTATGTACTCTTTTAATACAAATACTCTATAATACTGCTTTTAAAGATAGTGAAAATATTCATTATACGCCGTAAAATATGAATTTCAGCAGCCTAATTTCTAATAACTCAAATGACGTTCTTTAAAGATGCTTATTGTTTAGATGAATTATGCAGCGCAACAATCTTTCTTTGTACTCTGGATGATTATTATTTCTTTTATACCTCGAACAATGTTGATAAAAATCTTGATCAGAAGTTTCGACAGTTTTTAACATATTTTTAACATAACCAAAAGGCCCCAAAGGAGAATGATGAAATCCTTGATGTGGTAGAAGATGATGTGAATTTTGGGTGTTACGCTTGCACCAGTTATCATTAGGTAACACTTTTTGAAAATTTCAATTTTTTCAGCAAAATCCAGCTGAAGGATGTATTCAAAGCAAGACTTGACAACTAAATTGAAGCTTTTGAATGCTTCAATTGTGCACACAATATTGGGAACCATGTTTGTCTCAGCAAGTTGTTGCAGCATATCCACATTTTTAAAAGAAGCTTCCTGCATTCATTTCCCTCAAACTGGCCCCCCTGATATGGGCTCAGTTAAATGTGGAGGGCCACTGGCCACTTAACAGCTTCTATCCAAGCAGTTTTAAGGATCTTGAAAAGATGTTTGACAACTCCTAAGAGGAGATGCAATTCCATTGGTGGAATGATTTCCAAAATCAGAACATTGACAGGCCGGCAAATGGTTGGCTTTCAAATGACATTGCCAAACAACTTTGCATTAGCAATAACCCCGCCAGATTGCTGAAATAATGACTCAAGGCTTGAATTAATTGAGCCCAGTGTTCGCAAGTTTCCAGATTTGGTAAGACAATTGGATTTGACGTCACACCAGGTGCAAGGGTACGTACTTGAATGAGTTTGAAGACCATAAATTATATTTACAACTTTCATATCACAAGCCAATTTTAGTTTAACTCCATTTGCATTAACCAGTGACCAGATTTTTTCAATATTGGAGTGTGTTTCTGGCAAATCCTCTGAAACCCCAACAATAATTTGTCTCTTGACTCCAATGTCTTTACCAGTCCTTGAGTGAGAGGTTGTTGTTGGTGCGGTGAGCTGGTTTCATCCCTTAACGCAGTGTCAACAATGTTTAGGCAAAACTTGATAAAACCTTTGCCACCATCGATTCCGAGCTTAACAAAATAGCCACCAGAAATTTTGCGGGACTGAATAACATGATTCACAAGACTTGATGAACTGTACAAGGATCTGTTTATTTCATCTGTGACTTTTAAGTTGCTGCAGGTGAAGAAATTGCTCAATTGTTGACCTAGTCTTAGAAAATTCATGTAGAAATTTCGCTCTACCATCTTGCTGCTTGATGTTTTGTTTATAGTTCTAACAACTTTCTTTAATCCGTTGTTTGACAGGCCCATATTTAATTGTACATTTACAAGGGCTACAGTGGTCAATTTCGGAGCACTTGATGGTGTCTGCGCACTACTTTGACCTAAAACCAAAACATACATATTTTATAGTTACAATTAACTTTGTTTATTAAGTTTGTGTAAAACTTTCAAATTATTCGTTTTTAAAGAAATTAGAAACTTGTCAAAAATTTACTTCTTGAAATCTATCTAGTGTTATTTCTTAATAGTCAAGACTTTATTTCAATATATATGTTAAAATTATTTAAGTATAAATATTTACCAGGGGTAACTGTAAGTAGAGGCCCGCTGGATGCTAGCCAGTAGAATAGTTCCTTCCGGAGATAATTATTTATTGGAAATAACTCGAGATGTGACTTGTTCAGATGATTTGGCACCTTTTGCTGCAAAGATTGAATGTTTTCCCTTAACATTATTTGAGAGCATTGGTGGAGAAAACCTTTTCCTAAAGGGCTGAGGCATTTGCTGCAAAGCACCTTTGGTTTTTTTCTCAATAGTGGTTTGCTCTATAAGAGGATATTTTTCTTGCAGCTTTGAACAACCAATTCGGCATATTAGGCAACAACCTCTTTTTTCAGGTCTCACTTGTATTGACTTAAAATCAAACAAAGGAGGGAGTGCAACTTCTTTCCCCTCTTGTTTCCTACACAAAGTAATTCTACACGATTCGCAGAATCCTTTTGGTAACCGAGTAGCACTGATATTGATCTTGGTCTTGTACATATGGCATAATCGATCTGCTTGAAAAGTAGTAAGCTGTCTTAAACATTTTTTCAGACAGAGCATGCACACAAACTTTTGATTTTCATCATGATTCTTTACGTGATTTGGCATCGTGGTAGTTCACTAAATTTGACTTCACTAAATCAAACTTTGCCTTTTACAAAATTCAACCTAAATTTATATTTAATAACAATCCACCTAATATAGTAACACATATTATTAATTAAAAACTATTAAAATAAAGGAAATATTTACTTGATCTAATTGAGGTAATATTAAATTACTAGGAAATAATTCTTGAATAGTTCTTTCCCTACCAGGAAACAATTATTTAAACTTACAATTACATTATTGAAATGATACTTGTCACACGGGTTGTTTTATTTCAAAACAACCCTTCAACCTAATTAGTTATTCAGTTAGAGTAATTTTCCTCCAACTGGCCCTTCAAACTTTGTATTGGTCAGATATCTTAGTTAACTTATCTAAATTATCTTTGTCAATATAAAAAATATTTGGTTTTTTCACAGTTGTTCTGTTTTCAGATAAATTAATATTTTTTATTTTCTATGTATCCCTAGAAATCCTTCTTAACCATTTTTTTAGAATTTTTTTGCATCCTGGCAGTAGTTTATACCTTAGGAAATGTTGGTATATTCACTCTATGCATACATGGCAGCCATGGCCTGGCCACTTTTTTTTTGCGAGGAACTTTTGTTTTAGAAATATAGGCAATTATTTTAGAAATTATGGATTTTATTTTAGAAATTGAGGGATTGACCCCCTCCACTTTGAAGGCTGTGTCAAAAATAAATTCAAAATAGCTAAAACGTCTAAAGTACTTATACAAAGTTAACAAAGTTGAGTAGTTTATAAATATTTTTAAAATATATAATTTGTAACCTTATAATTGGATACAAGATTTTAACACCAATAAAATTTACAAAATGAAAAACAATAACCTTCAAAAAAACATTAAATTGTGTGTGGTTTATAATATATAATCATTTAATTGAGCATTGAAAAGTACTTACCATTATAAAGTATAACCTTACCATTGCTACTAGGTTTTGATTCCACTAAAGAATACAAAATAAAAAAGAAAAAAAACAAATGAACCCTTCAAATTTATGGAATACATACTTGTTAAAAAAATACATGTAAGTTTACCACTGGTACAAATTGTTGTTGCCACTAAAGATAACAAAATGAAAAAATATATATAAAAAAAGACACCTTTTAATTCATTTAATCATTTTTGAAAAGATATAATATATAACATTAACATTGGCATAAGATGTTGTTGCCACTAAAGATTATGAAATAACTAGTATGTAAAACATAATGATTGGTCATTTATAAGTATTTTAAAAAAACTCAATCATTGCTACTATTGTTTTCAGATATCAATGTCATTAAATAGTAAAAAATAAAATGGACAATAAACAAAAAGGTAATCTTCAAACTTTATCATTGAATCATTTTAAATAGAAATGACATATCATATTATTATTGGGGCCACATACCAATACAAAAAAAAAACACACACACACACAAAAAAAATTTTAAATACTTTTTTCTTAATTTAATCTTCACATTTATTAGTTGTCATTAGTAATAGTTTTAATAGAAAAATGTGACTTGTAACATTATTATTATTATTAACAGATGCTGTTACCACATGAAAACACTAAGTAAAAAAAAGAATAATAAATAATCATTTGATTCGCCAATTTATTTATTTTGAAAAGATATAATTTTTACAATTGCTATCATATGCCAATACTATCTTTTTTACCAAAATTAAATTCTTTTTTCCTGTTTTTTGAAACAGGAAAAGCGGTGAACAAAAACATTTAACTCTAAATTATAAATACAATTGATGAATATAACAGATAGATCTCACTACTTGAAAGGAATGGATCAAGCTCACTTTATGACGCAAACATAAAAATATAACGCCAAAATAATGGAAAGCGTTTATTTTTTTTTAAATTATCCATTATATTGGCGTTAGTTTTTTTAGAGTGTAGATCAAAACAATTTTGGCAGACCTCTGTATAAAAGTTTAACAACTTATTTATAAACTAATTATGTAAACTTTTATAAACTAATTATGTTAACTTTTATAAACTAATTATGTTAATTATGTAAACTGTTTTGAAATATTAACCTCACAGTCATGGAGTAGTAATTAGGGTAAATCATCTGCACCAACTGCGTTTTTGTTATTCAAAAAATTCATCTGTTTTTTTAACAGAAAATCTGGAAATGTATGTAATTTATTGCTATGACAGTTTTTTAAAAATTTTAAATTTTTAGAAAACTGTCATAAAAATTAAGTTTTATTGATTTTAGATGGAAATTTGGTTGAATGGAAAACCTGTTGATGCTCTGAGTACAATAGTACATAAAACTAAATGTCTAGCTTTGGGGAAGTCATACTGCTTTAAGTTAAAAGAAACAATTCCAAGGTAGGCTTAAAAATCTGTTTAGTATGTATAAAGTTCTGTTAAAATATTAACTAAATTAAATGTTTAACTTAATAACTAAAGTATTCATATCATGTTGTAACAAAAGTATTTATAACAAGTGACTGATAGTTGAAATCTTTATTTAGTTAAAATAGAAATTTAAAAGAAGTGTTGAGCTCTTGTTTTGTTATTTTTGTGGTTTAGTATTTAAGTGTATCAAAAATCAGTTCTTGTGCCAATAGTCTTCAATATATTTTATAATTTATTTTATTTAATAAAGATACTTAGCAACTTTACACAATTTTTATTAGGGGTTAATAATATTGAAATTGCTTTAGTATGATTGGGGTTGCAATAGTATTGTGAAGATTACTTTAGTATGGTTGGGGTTGCTATAGTATTGTGAAGATTACTTTAGTATGATTGGGGTTGCTATAGTATTGTGAAGACTACTTTAGTATGATTGGGGTTGCTGTAGTATTGTGAAGACTACTTTAGTATGATTAGGGTTGCAATAGTATTGTAAAGATTACTTTAGTACGATTGGGGTTGCTATAGTGTTGTGAAGACTACTTTAGTATTATTGGGGTTGCTATAGTATTGTGAAGACTACTTTAGTATGATTAGGGTTGCTATAGTATTGTAAAGGCTACTTTAGCATGATTGGGGTTGCTATAATATGGTTAGGATTAAAATAAAAATGTTTCAAAAATTTTTCAAAATGTTATCAAAATTTTTATTAAGTGGGCAGTAGCAAAGATAATCAAAATGTAATATGAGTAATAAAAACCTTTACACATAATTAGTTTTTTATCCATTAAAAACTTATTTAAAAATTTAAACAAATAACTTTGTCATATTTTTAACTACCAATTTTATAATATTTTTAATAACAAACTTTATAATGGTTTTAACAACAAAGTTTGATATTTTAAGAGTATTTATTAATTTATTTTTTCTATTAATGTATTTTTATATGTCTATATACTTTAATGTGTTAATTTATAAAACTATTTAAAGTATATAGACATATATATTATATATGTCTATATACTTTAATGTGTTAATTTATAAAACTATTTAAAGTATATAGACATATATATTATATATGTCTATATACTTTAATGTGTTAATTTATAAAACTATTTAAAGTATATAGACATATATATTATATATGTCTATATACTTTAATGTGTTAATTTATAAAACTATTTAACACATTAATATCATGTATAAAAAGTATAAAACTGTTAAACTATTTTTTTTATAAATCAAATTAAAATTAGGTGAGGTTAAAAGGCACCCTACCATGTTTCTTAGCTTACAGAAATACAGTAGAGTGCATAACCGTCTCACATTTTAGATAAGGATTAAACTTTTTTTTTTTTGTATCTCTTTCTGGTTTCATCATTCATGGTTCATGCTTAAAAGAAAAAAAGATGGTTTATGCTTAAAAAAAGAAAAGATGATTCATGTTTAAAAGGAAAGATAGTTCATGTTTAAAAGAAAAGATAGTTCATGTTAAAATAAAAAGATAGTCCATGTTTAAAAGAAAAGGTAGTTCATGTTTAAAAGAAAAGATAGTTCATGTTTAAAAGAAGAAAAGATGTTTGACAGTTTAATTCATGTTTAACAGTAAAAAGTTGAACAATTTTTACCTCAATTTTTACTATTAGTTTTTTTTTTCTTTAAAGTTAAAAATATAAAGTTTATATATATGCTCATACAACTGAACTCTTTCACTGCTTCTTTTTTTACTGATTTTTTTTTTTTTTACTATTTTTTTTTTTACGAATTCTTTTATTTTACTGCTTGTTTTTTTTTACTATTTTTTTTTTTTTTTTTACAAATTCTTTTCTTTTAATATTTCTTTTTTTCTTCCAGTTTTTGTTAATTTTTTGAATAAATCTAATTGTTATATGAACTTTCATTTTAGACAGTTGTTTGAGGTGGTCATACAAGCTGCTGTTCGTAACAAAGTTATTGCAAGAGAAACGTAAGACTTGATTTTTATAAGTTATTTTAATAATAATTTAATTTCTGCAAAATTAAACAGTAGACTGTACAGTATAAAATAAAAAGTAAAAAATTTTAAGATTTTCAAATGAGCATGTCACCTAGTTTTTATCTTTTTTATTATGTTATGAGTCATTAACTGACAGTATTAATTAGGGATATTTGATGAGCTGCTAAATGGGTCATTAACTGACAGTATTAATTAGGGATATTTGATGAGGTGCTAAATTATTTTATTATAAAAATTTTTTGATTATGCTGATTTAATTTAAATTGCTAAATTTGCTAAATTAAATAAAAAATATAAAAATGATTGTGACAGGCACTACAAATGTTAACACTAGGAAAACAAATGCCATGATAAAGAGATTAATGACACATTTTGAAAGTGTTGGCTTTCAGAAACCTCTCTATGTTGGTTGTAAACACCATATATTAGATCAATTAATAAAGTTATGCCTGGATGACTTTTTTGAAGGTAATATTGATTCACCTGAACTGTCATATTATTTTATTGAAGCAATACGTTGTAAATGACTATTTAACATTGAACTTTGACAATAGTGGTGTTTAATTGAAGGAGAGTGAACTGAAATGGAGAGATTTTGAAGTATCTAATTAACGTAGTGAAATACTTTTGGAATAAAAAGAAATTTCCTAAGGTTAACTTTAAAAGTTTACCAAATATTAGCCAATAGATGGAGCTCCCATGCAATCTAGATGGAGCTCCGGGGTAATTTATTTACTACTTGCTTACATACTAATTCCTTTAGAAAGACAATGACTTGAGATGGCTAATAAGCTTGTTGTTGAAAATTGGGCAGATATCTGGTTTTTAAACCAAATGTTATACCCTGACAATGGTAAAGAATGGGAGGAAGCCATTAAAGATCATCCAAAAGCTATCAATACATTCACAAAGTTTTGGTGTGATTTTCCTTTGCCTATAAATGCACAAAGATCCAACATTTGTGCCGCGAACAAGTAGTAAAAGTTTTAGAAGATATCAAAAGTCTTTGCAAATCTGAAGAAACTTTGTGTTTGAAATATTTATTAACAAATCATAATTAAAGCTATGCAAACCTTTTTAGTTAATGTAGTTTTGCTCTTTGAGTTTATAAAAATATTATCCCCCTACTGTAAACCCACCGTTAGAAAAATCTCTCATAAGATTTCTAAAAATCTTTCTTTTAAAATTTCTCTATTGTTTTTTGTTTGAGGTGAATACCATCCAACTATTCTTCTGGACAGTACAGTCTTTCATTTAATATATTTGATTATAGCGGTATCACTTTTATTAAGAAAATTGTTTTTAAGCAAAGTTAATTTTCTTGAGGATCAAAATTTCTCTGAAAATATAAATAACCATCTAAATTTGATCTATCACTATATTGATAAATATTTTTTACTATAACTTTATGGGATTTTGCTGAGATGAAAACAATAATAGTTTTGAAATGGAGAACTAAATAAATTGACATAAAACAAAAAATAAATACTTTATTTTACAAAAATATATGCCATATTAAATAATAAACTTTTAATTTTATCAATATAAAAGTAGTATTATAATAATTTTATCAATATAAAAGTTTAAAAATTTTAAAATATAAAAGTAATATTATACCTAATATCAATACTAAAACTTAAGAACAAAATTTTCTAAAATTTTATCAATATAAAAGTAATATTATACCTAATATCAATACTAAAACTTATGAACAAAATTTTCTAAAAATTTGCAATGAACATTAAGTTGCCTGTTAGTATTTACAGATTTAACATCTAAAATGGATTATCAAAATTTACAATAAGTTTTCATAAAAATTCAAATTATAATAGACTACAAAAAGCAATCAAAAGTACATAAATAGAGTTGCATAGTATTCTTCAATCACTCATAAATTTTTGTGTGCTATTTTTTACACTATTCAACCATTGATATTAGTGTTTGATTCAATAAATTACTGTTTGCTTGGAATATTTTTTGAAGACTTCAGATGAGATAGTTCGTTGGAATTTGCATATAGTATCACTGTCAAAAAATGTACCTTTTAAATGTGAGTTTAATTACATTGTCTTACTTATTGGAATGCAAATAAATTGTTTGGATTAACGAGCTAAACTAAACTTTTAACAAACTTTAAAGAGTACAAAAAATTGATAATGGCATCTCCAGTATAAATAAAGCTATTTGTCAAGAAATTTCTTTAAAAAGATGTTATAAATTAACTTTAAAAGTATCGACCTATCTTTGTTTTCCTTAATTTCAATAAACAGAAAATCATTTTAAAATTAAGTTTTTTTAAAAACTGCAAAATGTAAACAAAATAGCCCAATACAATCTAAAGTGTTTAAAAATGTTATTACTGTGTTATAATTGTTGACTTTTGTATTAATTGATAGTTTTATATGTAATTTCAAATTCTTGTGTATGTGAAGCTTTATCAAAAATGAATCAAAATTTCTTAAATCTTTGCATTTTTTAGGTAAAAAAATGTCTATATGCTTGATTTTGATAGAGCATTTTTTTTTTTTCTGTACTAGGTAATTTTAAATGTTCTAATGTTCTTTCTGTACTGCATAATTACAAGTATTCTAATGTTCTTTCTGTACTGCGTAATTCCAAATGTTCTAATGTTTTTTCTGTACTGCGTAATTCTACTAAATGTTTTTACTGAGTGGTTTTACAAAGTAAAACAACTAAGTGAAAACATTTTAGTTTTTTAGTTTTCATTCAAGTTTTTTACTAAATAACCACTTTTAAACAAATGATTTTACCAATGTTTCTTAGAATCTTTTTTATATTCTTTTGTATTAGTTATGATCGTTTCTAATTTCTTCAATTTTTTTGACTAATTAAACTATGATTTTAAATGTAATATTTATAAAGTGTATTTATAGTAACACATGGTGATATGATATGATGATATGATGATATGATGATATGATGATATGATGATATGATGATATGATATTTTTCTAAAAGTTTTTTTAATACAACATCAAAGTTTTTTTATAAAAAAAAAACAATAACAAAGGTTCATTGTTTGTTCAAAATCACTTTTTAGCAGAAACTCAGGCTCAACTAAATTCCACAAAACGGAAGTGGTAACCTATAATTAATGCTCTAAATAAGAATGGTGCAATATCTCTAATATTTTAATTGAGTGTTGGAATACCTCTTGATGGTCTAGATTAGATAGCTTGAATTTCCAAAATGTTTAATCAAAGTGAAGAGTTTTACTGAGAAAAGCTTCAAAAAAGTTTAATTGTAGTAACCATTTAAGGATTATGAAGAAGCCTGTTTTATGCTATAAACAAACAAAAAAGCCTAAGAGAACTTTAGTGCAATGACATAATTATTTCCATAATTGTTACAAAATTATATAAGTTCCAATTTTATTGTTGATGTGGAGAGCTACTACACATTAGGCTATTTGTCCTTAACTTCTAATGACTTATTATTTAATGGACTTGGATACCCGTCAAGCGTTGCAACAAAACAAAAGTGCTTGTTTGGTTTGCTATTTGTGAGTAAAATCAACATTAGACTTAAGTTAAATGATTATCAATTATAAAGCATACCTCAGCAAGTGTATAATCAAGTGGTTGATCCCATTCGTTCAAGAACATCACAGCGGTAGAAAATATGTGTTTTAGTCTGATTTAAGCTCATCACAACTCAGCACAGATTGGCTACAACCACAAAAGACACCACTGGTACAAAAGACAAATACACCAAAAGCTTGTCTTATTGTAGGATTTTTTGGCACTTTCTAAATAAAGCGTACACTTTGGTAAATATCAGCCATGCTGCTGATAATATTTAACAAATATAAATCTTGTAAATATAAATAGAAAACGTGTATCAGTTGAGAAAAGTTGATTATGGTAGAACAAAAGTTTTAACGGCACACAAATGATTAAATACTTCAGTTAAATAACCTATTGTTTTTATGGTTTTTTATTTTATGACGAATGCTTGTTGTTTTTATATGCATATATAAAAAAAGTACCAATACCCCAAATCATCAATGGTAAGATAGAAATCCTTAAAATTATAAAGCTCTTTTACCAAAACAAATCTGTGATCTCAAATCAATATCATTCCTTAAAATACGACACCGAATGCAAAAATTAACTCTTAATTATTCTTTTTAGTAGTTTTTAAAAGTTTCTAATGTTTTGGAAGACCAAACTTTTGCATTAAAATACCAATAAATGCAGAGCAACACGTTTATTTATTTCTGGTCTTCGTATTATTTACAAATCTTTTCTTTTTATGCACTATTATTAATTTGATTCCGTTTAAAAGGTTGTTTTTTTTTTAGAAAAAATGCTGTAGTGTAAGATTGGACTCCTTGTACTAAATTTACTTTTAATAAAATAGATACTTCATTTGTGTTAACCTTTTCTTTTTAGTATTCAACCTTTACGTAAGGATGTAACAGCGAAATGTGTAAGTTTTTTTTGTTGTTTTGTTATTTTCATTATTGTTTGTATCTTATTTAACTTTATAGTTCCACTTCATCGTCACTTTCAAAGCATTCGTTATTTATATATCCGTGCGATGTTCATTTTATACCTTTTGTTTAATTTAGGATTGCAATATCATATAACTTTTAACTTTTCTGTTTTTTCCTATATTATGGTTGATAATGAGTACAATTACAATCATAAATATATTTTTGTAGTATGGTGGTGATATTACACGAAAGCGAAAGTTGCTTGAACAACAAAAAGAAGGCAAAAAAAAGTTGAAACGTTTAGGAAATGTTGACGTTCCTCATAATGTTTTTCTATCGTTGTTAAAATTGTAAATTCTGTTTTATGTTCTATAATGTAAGGATTTCATTAACTTTTAAATTTCATTAAAATTTAAACTGTCACAATTATTTTTAATGCAATGTTTGTAAAAACCTATTTTTATTAAAAAAGCATTTAGAGTAAATATAAAAAAACTTTGAATATACTCAATAACATGCTGAGTCAGCAAAAAATATGCAATTTTACCTACATTTTCAAACAGATATTTCTAAACAACTAGTCAGAATTTGAGTCTAAAATTTCGAACAAAGGTTAACAACATGTTAATAAGGGATTTGACAGAATCATCATCATAACAATAGTATTAAAATAGCGGCATTTTAAGTTGAGGTTTATAGTTTTTATGTAAAATGTGCGCTACCAACATCAATTTTTCAGCAACAGCAAACTATAAAAATCTCGTTTTGGTCAAATCCCTTCACAGTAATCAGATGATTAATTGGTGAAAATTTTAGCCATAATCCTCAAGTAGTTAAAAAGAAATTCTTGTTCAACGTTGAAAAAAACGTTCACAGAGAAAATGCAAAAAAACAAATTAAACAAATATAAACAATAAATATCTTTAAAAATTTCTGAATACATATGAGTCATCAGGGTTACAAAATCCTTTTCTTATACCTCTCAGCTTATTCCTTCTCAGTTTTGTTACTTCTTTTTTTCCATAGGACTGATGCGATTTTTGTCTTTTTTCCAAGAAAAAAATTTTTCCCTAACGAAATTTAAGATGCTGAAATGTTTCTTTATGTGAAGCGTAACCACTATTAAATGATATAAGTACTAAGAAAACAGCTAATTCGAAAATACTTTCCGAAACAAATAGTGCTTTCAAGCATTTTTTCCAAACTATTAGTTTAAAGACTCATTAGATTTTGTGTATAGTTGTGTAAATATATTGATAAAAGTTTCTCAAAACTGAGTTCCATGAAAATTAGATCCAATAAGTTTTTGAAAGCAACAGGCAAATTCAAATTGTTTTTATAGGTGTGTTCTCCAGTAATTCTATCCCTTTAATAAATTTTTTATAGAAAGTAAAGGCAATATAAAAAGGCATATTCATCATGGTTGTAAATGTTTGAATACCTGCATTACCAATCTCATTATATGCCATATCTGTGCAGTAGTTAATTTCATGTGCTAAATTTTTTCCAAGCTTACTATTTTGAGGAGGTATGAATAGAAGAGAGGTATAAAAAAACTTGAATGCTGAATAAAAACTGCATTCTATACATCACTTAAGTGAAAACCAATTCATTTAAACTGTTTTCAATTTGAAATATAATCGATTTCTTTGTGTAACTTTTTAGCACTTGTACTAAACATGTCTGATTTAGATGCACTTTCAAAGGAAATGTTTTTTTCTCTGAATTTTTAAGTTGGTTTCTTTGAAAATACTTTCTTTTCTATATCTTGTTATTTTTTTATCTCAGAATATAGCATTTAAATATAAAAAATTAATTAAACAATTCAATAAAATTATTACACTAACACTTATAAAAATCTCTACTTCCTCTCGATCAATTTCATTTTAAAAACCAACAATGGAGTTTACTTATTTGCAAAGTTGATATAAATTAAAAATTATAATAAGTGTTACATGCAATTTATAAAAAATTAGCTCAAAAGTAAGCATAGTTTCTTGTTACTATGCAGTTGCTAAGAGCTTCCTTTTGAGATTGTAATTATAAATTAACATTTTATATCAATAAATTACTCATAAACATAGTAAAAGTATATATCTTTGAAATCTACAATAGTTCTTTTTTTTAAATTTGAAAATAATAAATTCGAAAATTTTAACATTTTATGGGCTAGTACAACCTTGATAAATTAGAAGATTAAACTGGCTACTTTTGCCTTAATACAAACTACAGTAATACTTAATATATAATATTTTTAATACTGTCAATGTGTTGTGCTCATTAACTCATACATAATACTACACTAATACACTTCTCGTCTTGCGTCAAAGATTCAAATATTAACTTTTCTTTCTTAAATGTTATTTTAATATGCACAAAACATTGCAAATACTGCTAAAAATTACGGTTTTTAATGCTGGCTGAAAAAAGTCATTTGGGAAGTTAAAATGATTTACTTTTATGCTCATAAAGCTAAATATGACTAAAGAAATTGACTTTAATAATATAACAAAAAAAAAAACTTAGGTTAAAGTAAAATTTAAATAACTTAGGTTAGCTAAAGTAGGTTTAAGTTGTTGGTTTCTTTTTTCACTGCGTTTTTAGAAAGTAACACATCTTAAGCAATCTTAATTTAGTGAGGAATTTTAGTGAGATAAGAATTTAACACTGTTCTTGTTTTATTTTGTTTATTATGTAAAAAATTTTTCCGTAGAAAGTTACAATTTATAAAATAACATAAATAATAAAACAAATGGCTGGAGCACAAAGAAGAGATCAGTTTGTCTTATAACCGAACCCCATTGTGACTTCATTACAGGTCGTTTTTTACAATAAAATATATAAAATCGTGATAAATGCTTGTGATAAATATATAAAAATGTGTAAAACTACGTTTCACAATTGATATAACTGTTTATATATAAATTCGTATTGTAAAATAAATTTAGAACAAGTAAAAGTTAAAGCAAATAAAAGAAATAAATTGTGCTAGTTTATATTATTTTACTAAAAAAGAAAAAGAAAATTTAAGTCCGTAGATAATAAAAAATGCTTTGATTCAAATTTAAACTGTTCAAGTGTATTTTTTTTCATAGTAACAATCTGGGGAAAAAATTGCCACAAGTAAGGTCCGCAGTGTTGGATTGAGTATGAATTTAACTTTAATGTAAGTTTTGAGATGACAAAGTTGTTATATGAGAATCTAGTAGGGTATTTATGACTTATTTTTCTTAAATAGGGTTGAAATATCGGCGGAGATAGTCCATATTTTCTTTTGTACATAAACTGTAAAAGAAGATGTATGTTAATTTTGTATATATTTAACGCTCCAAGTTTGCATAAGAGAGGTTCACATGAAACTTTTTTACTGACTCCAAAGACAATTCTTCAGGCATATTTTTGTTTACTGTAGAGTTTTTTAAGCTTAGTATAATTTGTGCTTGCCCAGGCCATGTTACCATAGCTTAGGTGACTGTGTATTAATGAAAAGTATAAACTTTTTAAGGAAATGATATTTAGGAAAGGTTTTGCTTTATAGATTAATGAAATATTTCTTGAGAGCTTTTTCTCTAAAGTGTTTATATGGCACGGCTGTTTCAAACCGAGCTTAACGGCTTCTTGTTAATTTTTGAAAATATTGACTAAAGGGGTGTTACTAAAACTTTTATAACTTTTGAAATATAAGAGGTAATTTTGTTTTGTAAAAACAATTAAGACATCAATAAAATGTTTTACCTTATGACATTTAATGCATTAGTAGAAAAACTTCTTTTAGTTTAGAATAAATATGACATATATTGAATTTGGCTAAATTTTTGTAATTTGATGTTACTTTTTATCAAAAAAAAATTAGAAAAATATATTCCTAATAGTTATTATCAAATACACTAATTGTTTTACAATAATGAAAACAAAAAAACCTTAATTATTTAAGGTTAACTAAAACAGCCTTAATCGAATTGTGAAAGCAAACCACATTTTTCGCAAAATTATGAAAAACGTCGTTATAAGGGGGGATTAGTTGTTAAATGAGTACTTTTTTAATATAGAAGTTCTTGATTTAGAAAATTATTTTGGAACGCTGATAAAATCATTACATTACAAAATAAAGTTCTAATAATATGGTGTTAGGTAGTTAATAAATAAAAACTCATCAATTCTAATAAAATAATTCATGACCAAAATTGAGTTAAAGGTTTTGAATTAACCTAGCTTTTGGTAGTAGAATTATTTTATGGTACTTATATCAATAATCTCTTCTCACAAAAAATAAAGTGTTTAAATATACACAAATAGCTGATTTAAATCTTTTGATAATTCGTTTTTATTTTCATTAAAAACTGTTTTATAATTAGTTGGTCCATTGATAAGTTCTTCAAGCAGTAAACTATCTTTGAACACCCAGATGATACTAGACTCATACATAATTCATTTAAAACCAGAAGAACATTTGGTCAACTTGGCAATTGTGATAATAAAGTTTACAAATTCTTAATTTATCAAGCTAAATCTTTACACCAACTTGATAAATGAGACTTATATTCCATTCTTTAACCAGAGAGGAGGTATGTAGAGCAGAGGTCCTGCGAAGGTAGAACTAACTTTTGATGATAAAAATTGAACGGAGATCTAATATATATAAAAAATGTTACATATTACATAACAAAGGATAAAACGTTTTTTGAATTAACTACATAAACATACAAAATCATATCCAACAAACATACCAGTTGCTCTGATCACAAATTAAAATAGTTAGCTATACATTTGATGCTAGACTTTTATTCCATTCTTTAACCTGAGCAAAGGCATTGCATAGATATAATAAACTTTTGAAAATAGGAACAGAATGGGCATCTACCTAATATATAAAATCATTGTAATAAAAAATTATTATTATTTTGAACAAACATTACAGGCATTAAAACAGAATAGAATTCTCTTATTTGTAAATTAAGGATCTTATATAATTTATCTTAGATGTAAAAAGTTTAATTTTTTTTTAACTTTTCAAACATTTAAACTAAATTTGATGACCACAAACAAGACAAAGACCTTGTCTATAAAATGAATTTTCGCCACGCTCTGAGCACACAACACACTTTCTCACCTTAGAGGCTTGAAGCTTCCTATCAGCTTTGCTGTGCAATTCAAAGCGTTTTAAAACAAGATGCAGCATTTGCTCCTGATTTCTAACTGAATGCAACTGCCTTAATTCCTTATTTACGCTATTATGCAAACACTCTCCCTCCTCTTCACTCAGCAACCCAATAGTTTTATGCAATTTTAAAAATAGTGGCACATTGAAAATGAGTTCATGCATTTTTCGCGTGATACTTTCTTTTGGAAAGCAAGCATGAAACTCAATAGCAAATAAATTTATATA